TCAGTACAGATTTACATGTTTTTCATCTTTTTAAAAGTCATGTTGCTCTGTAAAGAAAATACACTTTCTTTCGATTCTCACGTAGACCGAGAAGGGTCACGATAAGGATGACTTGCTTTTACAAAGTCGGGCACCAGTGACACCCCGGAGGAACCTCACCGGTCTGGAGGACCTCCTCAGTCTGCAATTGGATTTTGAAAAAAGATCCGCTTCTGGAACCCGATCAATGACTCCACTGTTGCTTTTCATTCTGTTTGTACCTGTACTGGTCATCTCCAGAAGCCGTTTGAGTTTTGTCACCTGTCTTTGTGCTTTGCGCTCAGTTCCTTGCTCCAGGCACTGTCCTAGGTGCTGATGAGAAGCAATGGCTATGACAGGCGTAGAGTTCTTCTCACCTAGAGCACACAGTCTGGGAAGGGAGAGGGTGTTAGGCAGACACCTTACAAACTGGTCCTCATCGTCGACAGCCTTGGCGAGCATTGTGAAGAAAGGTATAGGGGCTGAGAATGCCACAAGGGGTGTGACCGTGGCCTGGAGGGTAGTTTGGAATTAGCAGGTCTGCAGGGGTGAACACTGACGCTTTCTTACATAATTATGTGCTCAGAGGTGTGTAATCGGGTCACAGATTTTTTTTTTTTTTTTGCATTTTGTAGATAAACATAATGGATTGAAACCTTTAAAATACCATATTAAAATCTATTCTCATTCTTCAAGTGAATAAACTTTTGTAGGTTTTTCAATATAAGCTGCAGCTAATGCTGGCATTCTGCTATAAGCTGGGAAGAAGCCTGTGGTTACAGTTAGGGTTCTGGCAGAGGGAGGGGCCAGCCCCCACGGAGAGCCTCCTTTGGACACAAGACTCCACTGGATTCTGTAGGCTCCCAGATGCACACTGATGCATGCCGTGAACTGCTGAGGGGGCTGGAGACCCAGCACCCTTCTGAGTTCATTAGAGCTCCAAGGAGTCCCCTCAGGTCCATATTTAGGGATGGAGCTTTCTTTGCTTGGACTTGAGCATCAGAGCAATCGGAGCGGGAGGGCAGAGGGCAGCAGCTGGTGGAGGGAGGGCGGTGGGGCAGCCTGATGAGCCTTGAGTCCAGCGAGAAGCAGAGAGGGGCAGAGAACAGTGGGTATTTGCCACTTGGCCTTCCTGATTATGGTTTTTCTTTGGGCTTTTCCTTGAATTTTATTTGGGGTAGAGAGATGTGTGCATAAGAGCAGGTCATTGGGCCCCACAGAGAAGACATCCCTCTGAAGCAGTAGCAGGGCGTCCCCAACCTGGAGTGTCTGAGTGAAGGGGACGATCTTCTCTCTGCGCACTCTGCAGTCTCAGGGCCGATGGCCTCCATAGCCTGGCATGCTCCTGTCTGTTAACTTGGTTGGGCTTCACTCCCACCCATCGGGCTGTAGGGCACTGGGGAGCTCGGGGCTCATCTGGGAATCCAGGTGTCTTGATCTTTGAGCGATAATGGTAGCTCTAAGTGAGCCATTTGCACAGGACACTATGCATCTTCATGAGATAAAACCCACACTTGCCTGCTGCCAGGTGTGCCAGCCGCATGTTCCTGTGCTCAGACTCATGGGCACATGGAGAGGAACAAGCTGCGGAAACCGACCGCTGTTCTCAGTGAGTGCTTGTATGCATGTTCCCCATTCCAGGTGAATAAGGGATCATTTTCCCCATTCTGTGGATGAGGAAACTGAGACTCCATGCTGGCGAGTGGTGGGATGGGCTGTTGGCCCCAGGGCTGCCTGACTTCCAAGTCTTGGCTTCTTCCCTCTCCACCCGGTTGACTCTTGTTCGTGTGACAATTTTTGAGACATAAAACACAAGCAGGTTTAAGACCCTCTCACTTGACGTGAGCCCAATTTGTCCTCCCTTCACGTGGTGGGGGGTGGCATTTGCCTCCATATGCGAGTCCATTTGCAGCTTTGGCATCTGGCAGTGCTCTCTGCACCAGGAACCCAGCAGGATGTGCCTCCTACCCTCCCACCTGCTCCTGACCCCTCTGCCTGGTGTGGCTTTGTCACAGTCACATCATCCCACCCAGGACAAACAAGTGCAAGCATCTGGGTCTGCTTCACGTTCAGATGTAGGCACGCTGCACGCCATCCCAGGGCTCATGCACTGCTACATACACCGCCATATTCTCAGCACTCCCCGACAGGGACTATTGATCAAATGTGCAGAGGTGATGACATTTTGAAGGTAGTGTTAGATGACGTATCATGACAGCCACAGACTCTTTCTCTCAGACTTAGATACCCTGACATACCCAGTGGGGGGTCTCGTGGGCTTCATCAGCCTCTGGGCTCTGGCTGGACCCTGGACAGGGGCTGCTTGGCTGGCAGAGCCATTTTGGTAGGGAATTGGTGTCTTTCAGATGTCTCAGCTTCCCCTAAGACCCTCTGGGGATAGCTCAGCACTCTCTCCTTCACTGGGTCAGCACCTGCAAGTGGCAGAGACCACACTGGTCCCATCCATCACTGCATCCCAAGCCTCAAAGGTGCCTTCCCATGCTGGGTGTGCAGTCAACATGAGTACATGCAGGCAACGTGAGTACACGCAGAGAGCATAGAACATGTACCAACCTAAGTATAACATGAGGGCATAGGTTGGTATTTCTGCTTTGCCACTTTGCACCAGTTAATAAACTTACCTGATATAATCTACAGTCTCAATTCCAAAATCAGAATACTAAAAGTTCTAGGGGATTACATAAGGTAATTCGGATGATACACTACATGCTCGATAAGGAACTGCCGGTGTTGTGGTTAACTCCAAGTTCACGCAGCAGAAAGAACAGGCACTTGTACTTTCTAGCTTAATGGCAGCTGTAGAGGTCAGTCCTCAGGGTCGGAGTTGATGGCTCTTGACCGATCCTCACCCTTTTCACTCTCCTGTTTGCTCCTTATATTTTCCTGCTTTTCCTTCTCTATTGCCTTTTCCTTTAAATGTACTGGTAGCTGCCTCCTATCCTCACAGTGTCATTGAGTAGCAAGATATGGGGGGTCAGGGACTTTGATAGGACTGCACTGAATTTGTAGATTGCTTTGGGTAGTATGAACATCATAACAATATTTGGTCTTTTAATCTATGAAAATGAGATGTCTTTCTGTTTCTCTTTATCAAATTTCAGCAACATTTTATAGTTTTCTGTGTACAAGTCTTTCCTCTCCTTGATTAAATTTATTCCTAAATATTTTATTCCTTTCGAGGCTTTTGCAAATGGAATTGTTTTCTTAAGTTCATTGTTAGTATATCAAAACATAACTGATTTTTATGTGTTCATTTTGTGTCCTGCAGTTTTGCTGAATTTATTTGTTTTGTTTTGACAATCGTGTGTGTGTGTGTGTGTGTGTGTGTGTGTGTGTGTGTGTGTGTGGAGTCCTTAGGGTTTTCTACATATAAGATCATGTTATCTGCAAACAGAGATAGTTTTACTCTCCCTTTCCAATTTGGATGCCTTTTATTTCTTTTTCTTGCCCAATTGTTGTGGCTAGGACTTCTAGTACTATGTTGAATAAAAGTAGTGAGAGTGGGCATCCTTATCTTGTTTTTGATCTTGGAGGAAAAGCTTTCAGTTTTCCCCTACTGAGTGTGATGTTTGTTGTGGACTTTTCATGTATGACCTTTATTATGTTGAGGTAGATTTCTTCTATTCCTAGTTTTTCTAGCTTTTTTTTTTTAATTATGAAAGGGTGTTAAATTTGTCAAATGATTTTTCTGCATCAATTGAGATGATTACGTGGGGTTTTCCCCTTCATTGTGCCGAACAGACATCTTTAGGAAGTCAAATTATATGAAAATTGAGAAGTGATACTGATGTAGCTTTGTTCACCTTTTAGTGTATTGACTAGTCAGGAGATGAGCATTTTGACATTGATATTTAAGAAGACCTAAATACCCAGCTCTGGCACAGACCTATGACTCTCTTCCTCTGTTAAATATTTTCTTTGTAGTTCTCCTGTCATGTCCCATTATGTGCGGTATACAAGTGGTAAATGTTAACTGGTTAATTAAATATTTGAGCCCCCTTTTTAAGTGTGAGGATTCATACTAACTGCCAATAAGAAGTAGCTTTCCAAATAAATGATGAGTTAGTATGTGTTGGGTAGAGTGCCCCATTAAAAAGTCACCTTTGGACACAATTAAGGAATATTGACCATTTGTTTTATTTCCATGAAGAGTCAGAGATGTTTTATTTAGGAAGAAGTCTAGTACCTGTGGATGAAATGATAATTACATCTGGGATGACTTGCTTTGAAATACGTAGTGGAAGAAGGAGAGGGAGAAGGGATGAAGATGAAACTAGAGTGACCATATGTTAAGTTCATTATATATTCTTTGTACTTTATTATCTGTTTGAAATTTTCATGATAAAAATTACAGAAAAGAAACACTGTAAATCAATGATGGTGTGGCTTTATGTTGAAATATTGTAGCCATTACAGTAACACTTAAGAAGAATTTTAATGATGTGATATTAGTAAGAAAATCCGGAAGTCTGTCTTCCTTATATGGGGTGTCTATGCATGTACTAACGTTTGCATAGAAAAAATATTGGAAGGAAATACATTGAAACATTAACTGTCATTATCCTTGGTTGGTGTGACTATGGGCAGTTTTCTCCTCTGTATCTTCCAAATTTTCTACAGTAAACAAGAAAAAAACAATTTCTGAAAAACTTTTTTGCGGGGAGAAAGGAGCCAAATCTGCATTGTGTAAATTGGTGAAGCATTTGTTGCAGTTATCTGTTTTCTATTAAATTGCTCCACTCAGGGATTCAATAAATGCCTGTGTGGTTACTAACCTTGAGCTGTGGACATGTTTGGGGCTGGACTGCCCTGTACTCTGCCTGGGAATCTGTCTTTGCTGGGGTTTGTGTGGGCAGGAGAGGTCATGGGCAATAGCAGTCACCACCACTGTGTTACTCCCTGTTAACTTCAGTTACATGCTTCCTTAACATGAATTTCCATCTAGTTTTAGTGAGCTGGACATGATTTCCACGAGGGTGATGGACTTTAAGCTTCGGGAGGCCGCTGAAGGCCTTGGGGAAGACAGTTCAGGTAAGGCCTTTGCTTCCCCTGTTTTTCTTTTCTTTTAGGGGATGTTATATTCTCTGCTGAGCTAAATTCCAGGCCCATGAATCACCATCTCAAAATATGTCCTAAGAGTTACCCAACTATGTGATTGGTTTACTATTATTCATATATTGTCATTCATGTCCTCATAGAGTTGAGAAATTGACATTAAAAAACATTAATTTCACCACAGTGTCCCTTTTCCATAGATTAGCTATTTATACTCACCTGGTTTTGGTAACAAAGATCTCTCTCTCTTCTTTAAAGTCAAAATGCTAGTGGTCATTTTTTTATATACATATAGCTCAGGAGGAACAGCTTTCAATAATATTAAATCCTAGCTGCTGTTAGCTTCAGATGCTAACCTCATTAAAGACACCATTTCATATTTATAGGTATATTTTTCTTATTATTCCATATTGAAGCTACTTTGTCTCTGTCACATTTCAAGAGGTACCAAAAATAATAATAATAATAAAAAGATATAATGTGAGGTTTTTAAAATTAACCCTGAGGAAAAAAAATGAGTTTCAAAATTTCTCATATTATGGGATTCTGAATTATTATTTTTTTTAACAAGTAACAGCAACTATTATTTGAAGAAGTAGTTCATTAGCCTGAAACAACTTCCATAGATGCTAGTTTGGGGCACTTATAGAAGTCACCATGAAGAATCAATTTTTAAAAAGAGAGAAACTAAATATTTTTTTTCCTCAAATAATAATGAGCTAAGTTATTCAGACTAACCCCTTCCATTTAAAATTTTAAAATTCTAGACAAGACTATGGCCATGCCACCCTGAACATGCCCAATCTCATCTGATCTCAGAAGCTAAGCAGGGTCGGGCCTGGTTAGTACTTGGATGGGAGACCACCCAGGAATACCAGGTGCTATAGGCATTTAAAAAAAATATTCTAGATAAGAGCATTCTTTAAAAAATCTTTTTAAAAGTAAAGAATAATGAGGCCAGAATTTTTTTTTTAAATAGTAATCCAGAGAGATAAATGAGCATGGAAGCCACTTTTGCCCTCAGATCATTTACTAATCTCATTTTCATGTCTTCATGGAGTGGAAGGTAAGGGAGAGGGTCAGAATGAAAGTACAGGCCTCGTCAAGGTGGGCTATCTAACAGAAGTCTCTCCTACAATAAGCTGGGAGGCCATGGAGCAACAAAATCTGAATAAGAGCAAACCAGAGGTAAATCAACCCTTGTATGGATTTGTAGCTTGAGTTTTCATTCCATGGGTAATTCTGAGAATTTCAACCCTTGAACTTGGCTATTAGTATTTCTAGCCTGGCTGTGACCCCAGGTACCTGGTAAAAGCAAACAGTCTTCTCTAAAGTAATGTGCCTTCTAACTAGACTTCAAGTTATTACAGAAAATAATATTTTCAGTACCATGACAAACATGTAATCAGTGATAACCAGGTATATAAGGCAGTAAGTCACCATTAACGAGAACCAACACATATGAGTTGAATTGTAAGCCTCCAAAATTCATACATTGAAGTCCTGATCCCCAGTATCTCTGAATGTGACTATATTTGGAAATCAAGTCTTTGCAGACATAGTTAGTTAAGATAACACGAGGTTATACTGGAGTAGGGTGGGCCCTAATCTAATGTGACCAATGTCCTTACAAAAAGGAGAAATGTGGACACATATACACACACACACACAGGGAGAATACCATGTGAAGATGAAGTCAGAGACCAGGGTGATGGCATCTACAAGCCACATGCTACCAGCAAACCATCAAAAGTTAGGGGAGAGACATGGATAGATTTCTCTATCACAACGCTTTGAAGGAACTAACCATGCCAAAGACACTTTGATCTTGGACTTCTAGCCTCCAGAACAATTGTGAGACTATAACAAATCTATTGTTTAAGATACCCAGTTTGTGGTGCTTTGTTATGGCAACGCTAACAACTGATACACGGCAGAAACAAGGGCAACGGACACACAAAGTCATCAAATATCAGAATTATCAAATATGTGCTATAAAACAAACATACACCCTGTGTTTGAAGATAATAAAAGTTAGAAAATATCTGGGAAAAACGGGGAACTATAAAAAGTGTTATAGTACCCAACTACTGCTATAAAGCAAGATAAAGAAATAAAAGGGATACTGATGGAAAGAGGAAATAAAACTGTGATTATACAAATTATCAAAAAAGTACCTAGAACTCTCAAGGAACTTTAGCAAAGTTGCACTATACAAGGTCAGTATTTAAAAAAATCAATTGTATTTCTATATACTAGCAATGAACAATTAAATAATTAAAAATTTTTAAAGTGCCATTTACAATAGCACCCATAAAAAGAAATACATAGGTATATATCTAACAAAATGTATACAAGATCTATATAAGGAAAAACATTTTTTTTAATTGTTTAAATTAATCAACAAAGACTCATGTACAGGGAGAGATGTACTATGTATTATAGACTGAATATTTGTGTCCATCCCAAATTCATATGTTAAATACTAACCCCCCAGGTGGTGGCATTTGGAGGTGGGCCTTTGGGAGATAATTAGGTCTTGAGGACAGAGCCCTTATGCGTGGAATTAGTGGCCTTACAGGAAGAGGCCAGAGAGCCACTCGCTCTCTTTCTGTCATGTGAGGACATGATGAGAAGTCGGCAGTCTGCAACACGGAAGAGGGCTCCTCACCAGAACCCCACCACCATGCCAGCATCCTGAGCTCAAACCTCCAGTGTCCAAAACAGTGAGAAATAAATTTCTGTTATTTATAAGCCACCCAGTCTGTGATACTTTATTATAGAAGCCCGAACAGACTAAGATAACATTTTGTTTTGGATTGGAAGACTCAATATTAATAAGATGTCATTTCTCCCCAAACTGAGCTACAAAATGAGGTATTGGTACATGTGGGGGAAGAGTACAATGTTGATAAGTCAACAATGAAAGGGAGGAGCACAGTTCAATATTCTATAGCAAGAATATTGACCAGTAATCATTTGATTTCCATGGAGAATCAGAGATTTTTTCATTTAGGAAGGAAGCAAGTCCACATGGATGAAATGATAATAATCTGAAATGATTTGCTTTGAAATAACCTGGCGAAGATGAAGGAGAGCAGGGGTAAAGATGAAACAGTTAAAATCCCAGCAAGATATTTTTCCAGTGTTGACAAGCTGATTTGAAAATTTACATGAAAGAGCAAAAGAACCAGAATAGTGAAAACATTTGAAAAAAGAACAAAGTTAGAGGGCTCACATTACCTGATTTCATGACCTTCTGTAAAGCCATAGTAATTAAGCCAGTGGATATCGAGGATAGATGCATAGACACAGATAGGAGAAAACAGAGTCCAAAACTAGACCCAAACAAATATGGTCAATTGATTTTTGTTACAAAGATGTAGCAATAATTCAATAGAGAAAGAATTGTCTTTTCAAAAGATAGTGCTAGAGAAATTGAAATTTATATGTAAAAAAATTGACATATACCTCATAGATTATACAAAAATTAATTTAAAATACATTATAAGCATAAATATAACAGTATAAAACCTTTAAAAGAAAACATAGGAGAAAATATTGATGACTTGGGATTAGGTAAGTCTTCTTAGAGATGACATTTTAGTCTCTAAAAGAAAAAATTGGTAAATTTGACCTCATCAAAATTTTAAACTTTTGTTCTGTGAAAGATACTATTAAGAAAATAAAAGACAAGTCAAAGACTGGGAGAAATATTTGCAAATCACACTTGACAAGAGATTAGTATTTAGAACTCTCAAAATTCAACAGTAAGAAAATAACCCAATTAAAAAGTAGGCTTTACCTAAGAAGATATACAGATGGCAAATAAGCACATGAAAAAGTGCTCAACACTTACAGTCATTAACCAATGCAAATTAAAACTACAATGAGATACCACTATACACCTATTAGAATTGCAAAACAAAACCACGCCCAACAATAACAAATGCTGAGATGCAGAACAACTGGAGCTCTCATATATTGCTGATGGTAATACAAAATGATACAACCATTTTGGAAAATATTTTTGCAGTTTCTTATAAAATTAAATATACACTTAGTTTATGACCCAGCAATCCCACTCTTAGCTGTTTAGTTAAGAGAAATGAAAATTTATGTTACATAAAAACCTACAGCAACTTTATTCATAATTGCTAAAAACCGAAAAGAACCCCAGTATCCTTCAGCTGCCCAGTGGTTAAACGAAGTGCTATATCCATACAATGGAACAGTACTCAGCAATAATAAGGAACAAACTATTGATTGACGTAGCAACATGTATGAATCTCTTACGGCATTGTGCTAAGTGAAAGAAGCCAGAATCAAAAGGATTCCTACTCTGTGAATCAATCCATATGACACTCTGGAAAAGGCAAAACTATAGGAACAGAGAACATATCAGGGGTTAAAGACGGGAAGGGTTTGGCTACAAAAGGGCATCATGAGGGGTGATGGTACAGTTCTGTATCTTAATTTTGGTGGTGATTATGCAACTCTGTGCACATCAAAAAGACTGAGTTTTACTGTATGTAATTTTAAAAATAATGTTTTAAATGATGTACCAGATTTGAAAAACAATCAAATGGGTTTTCTAGAAATAAGTATTTTATTACAATTAAAAACTCAGTAGTGAATTTAATAGCAAATAATATCAGTTCAAGATAGATCACAAGAAAGCATACAGAATGTAGCATAGAATGGTAAAAAAAAAAAAATGGAAAATTCAGAAGAGAGGACAAGAGGCATAGAGATAAGTGAAAGGGCATAAGATACATTTAAGCACAGTCTCAGGAAAAGAGAGAATAGCTGAGAATTTTCTGGAATTGATTTAAAAAAAAAAGACCCACTCCACAGATTTAAGAAACCTGATAAATCCCAGGAAGAATAAATAAAAGAAAATTCACATAGAGTGGAAAATATAGAAAATCAAAGATAAGAGGAAAAATCTTAAAAGTAGTCTGAGAAAAAAGACAGATGACCTTGAAGGGTACAAAGAATTGATGACTGACTGCACAACCACATGAGAAGCCATAAAACAGTGAAATAATGGCTTCAATATTATTGAAAGAAAACCTTAGAAAAAAATAATTGCCAACCTAGAATGTTATACCTAGGAAAATGTATGTTTTAGGAATGAAAGAGAAATGAAGACATTTTCAGACAAATAAGAACCGAGTTTGTTACCAGCAGACCTTTACTAAAGTAGATTCTGAAGGAATCCGCTTCAGGCAGAAGGAAAATCATCCTAGATGAAAGGTCTGAAAGAAGAAACTATGAGCAAAGGAAAAGAGAAACAAGTGAATGCATCTAAATATACATGGAATGATGCCTTTTGGGTTCTTTTAAAGTTCAGAACAAAAACAGTAGGGCATAAAAATAGTATTAAGGTAATCTAAGTTCCTTGCCTTGTCCTGTAATAGAATGTGTAGGATAATTTCTAGGGGAAATCACCAAAAGAAAAACAGAGATTAAAGGCAAAGTTTACAAACTAGAAGTGGGAAGAAATGGAATAATTTTTTAAAGTCAGTTAATCCGAAAGATGATAAGGAAATTAAGAAAAAGCACCTAAGACAGTAGACTTGTTTTTATTAACACATCAGTAACTACAGTGAGTATAAGTAGACTACTCAATTAATTTTCCAATTAGAAGTTAAAGATCATCCAATTGGATTTCTAAGACTCTAATTCTCTTAAGTATAAGAATTCAGAAAAGTTAAAGATAAAAGGATAGAAAAACATGTACCTTGCAAACACCAGACAAAAGGAAGCCGGCATCACTATATTAATAGCAGTCAAAATAAAATGTAAGACAAAAAAGCATTACTAAAATTAAAGAGGGCATTTCACAAAAGGTTCAGTTCCCCTGCAAGATAATAAATTTACCTTTCTATGTATTACATAATTTTAAAAGTTAGAGTAGTTATATAAAGATAAAATCTATAGTGAACTTTTTAATACACCGTATCAGTAATTGATAGAACAAGTGTATTAAAAATTAAAGATACAAACTATTTAGACAACACAATTTAAAAAGGCTTTGTCCTAACAGAAATATATTAAACATTGAAAAATACATTATTTTCAAACACATTAAGAACATTTACAAATTTATGGTAGGCCATAAAGCAAGTCTCAACAAATTTGAACAGATTCAAATCATACACGGTATATTCTCTGAGCACAATACAATTAAGTTAGAAATCAGAAACGGAAAGATAAGAAAATCCTCAAGTGCTTAGAAAGTCCCTAAAATTAATAAAGCTGCCTGAAAATTAATAAGCTAACTATTCATCTCAAGAAGTTTAAAAAGATAGCAAAGTAAATCTGAAGAAAGTAGGAGGAAGGAAAGGATAAAGATAAGAATAAAAATGAATACAATAAAAAAACAAACATTTAATAGAAAGAATTATCAAAGCCAAACTTTTTTAAGGCAAATAGAATCGACAAACCTCTGATAAAGGAAAAAGACAGAGAGGCACAGATAATTAACATCGGGGCTGAGAAAGAGAGCTTTATTACAGATGGTATGGATGATAAAACAATAAGAGGATGTGATTAATATCTATATGCCAATAAATTAGAAAATTTGGAAAAAATTGATTCCTAGCAAAATGTAACTTAATAAAACAGAATCAAGAAACAGAAAACCTGTATTGGCCCTGTCACCATTAAAGAAGTTGAATTAATAAGTTTCTGTGTCATAGACTCTCATTGAGAACCGTCACTTAACAACATAATCGTTTTGTGATTATGAAGGTAAGCAAACTTCCACTATGAAGTTAAGAAGATTTTGCTGTAGCACTGGATTCCCTTTGGGCAAGGATTTACTCAATTATGGGAAATCCTAGTAGATAATTCTAAGAAATTCTCTACATTAGGGAGCATTAATATAAACCAAATGTAAAGACTACATTTTTTTTTTTAAGAATTCAGCTTATTTACTTAAAAACAAATTGTTCTAGCAGATTTTCAGGATATATTAGACAGCCTACAATGTGGCATCCTTCTATTATTAGTTCTTGTAAATTCGGAAGGAAAGGGATAACTCTAGATTGAGCTGCTATTGTGAAATCACAGGATCCCGGATATGACAGAGTTTGTGAGTGAGAATGCAGGAGACGGCATGCTTGCAAGTGTTTGTGATATTGTAACGGTACGGGAAGCATGGTCGAGTCAGGCTCAGCGCTGCTACCACCATTTGATGATTTTTCTCACCCAAAGATGTTAGCTCCTCACTGTCCTTGGCACTGTCGTGAGCACCTCTGGTCCACAAAGCTGGACCTCTCCCAACTGTCCTTGGTGTTCAGGGCCGCGCTAAATGAAGCGCTTAAGATTATTTTGAAAAATAATTTGGGTTATGACATGGCCTTTACCTCATCAGTTTTTACTTCCTGCTTTTGACTATATATATTTCAGAGATTAAAGTTTGGTTTCAAGCAAGAGGACAGTCGCTCGTGCTTCGATTCTGTGATCTTGCTCCAGAGCTTTCCTGGTTGGCTCTTTTGTTAAATGTCCAAAACAGTCAGAAATCAAGATTTCTTTCCAGATGTGCAGAAGTGATACCCCAAGAACTTCTCTGTACCAAAAAAAAACAAAAAACAAAAAACTGTCAGGAGCAAGTCATTGAGGCATGGACAAAAATCCTGCTTTCCCCCTTCCCGAGCATGTCTCACACAGGCTTAGTAAGTGCTCTGTGCGTTCCTTCTGCACAGGAAAGAAAAAATCCAAATTCAAAACATTTAAGAAGTTCTTCGGGAAGAAGAAGAGGAAGGAATCACCTTCGTCCACAGGAAGTAGCACCTGGAAGCAAAGTCAGGCGAAGGATGAGGTCGTCGCCATGGAGTCAAGGGCAGTGGGCTATGACTCAGAGGATGAGCTAGAGTAAGTTGCTTGTCGCATCCTCAGGGCTTATATTCTGCGGTGGGGCCTGTGTGCCAAAACACTCTGTATTGTTGTCTTGGTAACTTGCTGGGTTTCTGAGCCTGTTTTCTGGGTTCTCCCACTGATGTGCCATTCTGTCTTTTCATACATGGGAGTGGAGAACATTGCGGGGAAATTATTAGGTGCCTGCCATGTGCCAGGTGCTGCATATATTAAATGTCTGTGGTCACTGTGGGACAGGAAGTAAGGTATACCACTTTACAAACTAGCACACCAAGCTTTAGCAGAATTTTGGAGAAGTTGCCCAATATCCTACAGCTGAAAGTGGCACGATAGGGATAAGAGCCCTGATATAATTTGGCCTAAAACTCTTTTGAGGGCCTGGATACTATACCAGAAAATGTTCAGGGTTAGGGGGTAGGGGGCTTTTGCTGTTCTGTCTTAGAAAAATCATCCCAGAATACTGTTGAGAAGAACAGATTCTGTAGGTATGAAACTTTGGGGAAGCCTAGTGGAGGAATCCTTATTTTTAGAACTTGTATTTCACCAAAATATAGTTATAATACATATACTCCAGTTATTCTAGCAGTTATATCTGTGAGTAAAGGGAAAGAAAAGACCAGGTTTTTTGCCATGCCAACTTTTATGTTTCCTTCTAAACAACTTTGGCCCTTAATTTGAAGATAAAACTCTTCAGAGGCATAATGACCCTCAAGATTGGGGAATAGGCCATGCTGAGGAGGGTCACAGACTTCAGCATCCCAGCGATGGTGTCCTGTTCCCTCCACCCCCAGCACCACTCCTCCCTCCTGTTTCCAGCCTCCTCCCTGATTTTTAAAGGAGTAGAAATTACACTGACCACTTGGTGGCACCAAATGACTGAAGAGGAAAGATTTGAGTGTTTCCTTCAGGTATTTTTGTTTGTTTTGTTTTCGATGGTAGCAGGATGCTCTCCTCGCACCTTGAGAAGTATGGGGAGGATGCACTGAACACAGATTTTTAAAATCAGTGTGCTCCAAACTCTTGGGGAGTGAGACGTTATCGTGCTAACAGCACTACTTAATAAATTTCCTCACTGGGCCAGCTCCCGGGAAACTGTAACCCTCACCTCACCCACTCCCATCTCTTGAACACACAGTTCTGGTCTTGGGGACAGAGGCCCAGGCAGGAGTATGGCAGGTGGGATGAGCGGGTGCAAAATGACCTGTCCATTTGTCCATTTCCTGTTTATCACTGGAGCCCATGAGAAGTGGGGACAGTGTCCTTTTCATCTTTATATCCCCAGCACCTAGCAAGGGCCTGGTCCCCAGTTACTGGTAAAGTTTTGCTGGATCGATGCTCAGAAAGGAAGCTTGAGGGCAGAATATAACAAGGCCCGGGAAGTACAAATAAGGATTTTTAGAGAGCAGGGCGGTGGGGAGGCGAGATCATAAAGGCATCCCTTAGCCTCTGGGAGTCTGTGTGTCTTCTAGCTCTGCAGCAACTTCTCATCCATCACATATTAAAGCTTATGGGACCCTGTGGGTTTGAAAAGCTGACCCCAATCTATTGTGTCTGTATGGTTATGCCTCTTAAGTCTCTTAATCTATAACGGTTCCCCTTTCTCCTTTGTTTTATGTCATTAATCCTTTGGATGAGCAGGGTCATTTGCTTTGCAGAATATCCCGCTTTCTGGCTTTGCTTTCACTCAGTATGATAGAACTCATTCTTATATTCTCGGAATTTCTTGTAAAGTATTAGGGGGATCTAGATAGTTGATTAGATTTAGGTTCAAGATAGTACTGGATACTTACTGTCACACCACATCACAAGGCACATAACTTTCTGGCTGTCCCACTTCTGGGGGCTCTGAGACTGAGCACTGGGCAGGGCTCCTCACTGTGTTTCCTCCACCAATTGCTTTAACACCCATTGCACATATCCATCATTTCATTGCAAAATGGTGATTTTTCTAATTCTGTCATTCAGTCTGCATGTGTCAGCTGGAATTTTTCTATGAAGAAGCTCTTTCCTTTATCAAGGGCTTGGTGGCTCTCAAATATAGTTTGTACAGGAGAGGCAGGATAATGTTTGGAATAATGATTTCTTTCTATTGATTCACCATCAGACTCATGACCTGCTACCCTAGCAACTCCCAACACTGACCAATGAGTTTTGTTTTTTTCATTTCTTCTTTCTTGAATATAGTTGTGAATGCATGAATTTTTATATATTTGGTTTGCTTTAACCCATGACAATTTTTATTCATTTTTATCCTCATATCGTCCCATCTTATGCTATTGAGACTCACTTCAAATTAGCTACTGAGTTGTTTTGACATGACCCCATTTGTCTTTGCATCCTTGCTTTCTTGCACAATGAGAAATCTTGGGTTCATTTTGTACATTTCCCACCCTAAACCTGTAACCAGCCATTTCTTCATAGGATTCTAGTTTCTTTTGGTGTGACATAATTTTGAGAGCCACAGTCTGGTCGTCAGGAATGATGATTGCTAGTGAGTTGGCTGTCCACTTCTTCTAGACCTCACCAGTACATACAGCTAGGAAAGACACTTTATTTTTAAAGAGAAATATAAATCATTAATTTCCAGATATTTCCAGTTTAAATTTTATAAGACAAAATTTTTACTTCTTTGTTTGAATTCACTTTTTTTTTATTGCAAATCTTGGTTCCGTATGATATTAGTAAAATTATTTATTTTCTTCATTGTACAGTACACTTACAATAATTTTATTATATTCTTTTCCCACACAGAGTTTATATACTATACAGATTGTTCTGCACTTTTTTAAAAAAGCAGTATTGCTACTACTAAGAGAGCAATTTGATATCTTTGTGGGTTTTGTTCTTAGAATTTATCCTGTTACAGATATAGAGTTAAAAGTTACTTGGATGTCGAGTTAGTCACTTTTCTCTGTGTGGTTATACCCACAACCTAATATAAAATTAGGCTTGTTTCTGATTGTTTTCTAGTTTTAGAGATCGTTTTATTTCCGTTTTTGTTTGATTTTTGCCTTTTAACCATGTAAATCGTTTACATAGCTTCCAAGGCAAAGTTGTAGGTGTAGGGTACCTTGGCGCCCTGTCTCCCATCTTGTTCTCTCCTTCTCTAGAAGGAAATCAATTTTATTAATTTGTTACTTATCCTTTTATTTTTATTTTAAAAAATATAAGCAAATACATCTATTCACATATGTTCATATATATTCGCACACCGAGCTGACACTCCACAAATGTTTTGCGCTGTTTTTTTTTTCCTTAGTGTAGTCTGCTGCTGCCCGTGTACAGGTTACAGACATCCTCCTCACTCATTGGTCCCCCCATATCAAGTTCCACAATTTATTCAGACACCTCCTGAGGGACGTTTGGATTGCCCCCAGTGTTTTGCTCCCATAAGCATTGCTACAGTGAATGGCCTTGTGTTTCTGCGGAGGCTTTTTCACACTGTCTCAACACCCAGTTCGGCCCAGAGGAGGCCTTAGAGCGGTGATCATAGTTTCCAAAGGGTGTGGCCGCAGGCAGCCCACTGAAGGCGGGGAAACCCAAGTGTGCCTGTGTCCTTTGTGACAAGAGCTGCCATTGTGAGAGGGCCTGCCTGGTGCTTTCGCTTGGCCTGATTCCCTCCCAGAAATGTGAAGACACACCCTTCTAGAACCCTGGGTTCCCCACTTGCAGGCTCATTATTATGGGCTAGAAAGAAGTTAGACAGCATCACTAGCCAACACGACTAGGTCTGCAGTGCAGCAGGGCCATGCCTAAGAGTTCCTAATGCCTCACGGAGGTCAGGGTGCCCAGGGCTAGGTGGCGGAGGACGGTCATGGTGTACAAGATGGCCAGTCTGCAGGGGGTGGGGGGTGCTTTCCTTCCTTCATCGTTGGGTCTTAATCACCTCCTTCCACCTATTGTTCAGACAGCCACTGCTGCTAGGAAAATATGACAGCTAACTCCCATATCCTCTTAGGACATTTTGCAAATGTCCTGTGGGTGCAGTTCCAAACTGGGGCCTTGAGCTCGGGCGTGGGGAAAGGGCTGGGATGGTGATGACAGAAAGGCCCACCACCTACACTCCAGGACCTAGGCACACAGGTTGGATTGCACAGATGATACTAAGTAAAGAAAAGGGGATGTGGCTTTGCAGGCGGCAATTGTCATTTCAAACCCAGCCATGAATGTGTACTTCAGACCTCCTTGTGAGGGTGCCTCCGGGAGGCCGGCCCTCAGCCCCCAGCCCACCGAGGGGCTACATGTTTGCCCACAGCGGTGACTTCACGTTCCCGGGCAACCCTGCCAGCCAGTCGAGGCCCCCATCTGGGACCTCATACCTTGTCAAATCTCGGTTTTTCAATTAATAAAAAGAATACTCACAATCTTCAGATCTGTTAGGAAAATTCCTGTCTCTACAACACTCCTAATAGTTGACTGTGGTATTTGACAGGATGGGGATAAACTGGAATCAGGACCAATTCAAAAATGAATGCAGCCAAGGGCTTGTGGTACCCAGGGCCATCAACCCCAATGCCCCTTGCTGTTCGTCCTGAGGACCCAGCTGAGAGGTGACGTGGGCAGAGTTTCACAGTGTCTCTTTCTCCTAGGGAGTCAAGGGGTGCTTTGGGTGGCCGGGCCCTCTCACACGACAGTATTTTCATTCCCGAGTCGGGACAGGACCCTACACGGCCTGTGCGGGTGTTTTCCCAAGAAAACGTTTGTGACCGGATTAAGGCTCTGCAGGTAAACTTTTCCTTGTCAGTGACACTTGGTATGTATGTCACATATGAATCGAGAAGTTTTAAAATCATTTCCACTTGCTTTATCTGATATATTTTGGGGTATAATTGCGTGCACGTCACAGCTCTCCCAAGACACTTCAAGTGAGTTATGACTGGATCCCATCTCATTCTAAGTTATAAACACTCATTTTCAAGGCTGTGGCAGCCGCTCTTTGGGTTCAGTCTCCCGCCCCAGGTGAGGGTGTCGAAATATCTCCTGAATGAATGAATTGGGGCAGGAGGGTTTGTTGATAAAAGTCACTGATGAAAACAAGAGCAAATGTTCTTTATTCCAATCCAGTTAAAAATACAGTGTAATGTGAAAATGGGACCACCACCTCCAGGCGGCCTTCCTGCCAAGCGGGGAGATGACGCCGGCATGAGTTCTGAAGACGACGGTCTGCCCAGGAGCCCCCCAGAGATGTGCCTGCTGCACGATACCGGTCCCGGTACAGCCATAAAGGCAAGTGCAGCCTGCTCTGCCTACACCTCCGTCCACACCCACGGCAGGGGCAGCTGGGGCCTCTGGTGGCCTCTATGCTCCCCTGAGATTCCTGTGCCAGGTGTGGCCAGGAGGTAGTCCCGCCCAGGGCACTGGAGCCCACAGTTGGTATTTATTTTCATTCTTTGAGCAGAAATTCAGGTCTTGTTGGGAGATAAGGTTTTGGTAGCATTCTTCGTAATGGCTAGAGATCTGATACAATCAACCCCAGACCTTGTTTTTCCTGTCTGAGCAGATGACCAGAGCAGTGTCCCTTCTCAAAGAGTGAAACGCCTTTGTTTCTGTTCTCTGTTGTCATGACACTTGGCCGGAGGACAAGGGAGTGGTGAACATACTTGGCTTCATCTAGGCTCCCATGTCTGAGGGAGGGTGATTCGCACTTGCTGGGCACGGGGAGGAGTGGGAGATGGGGTGCCAGTAAACAGGGCGGCAAGATCAGTTCCACAGGCAGCAGCGGTATGCACGGCCTCTGCAGGGTGGGGAGCTCATCCCGGATGCCGCCTTCCCCTGTGGGAACCCATGAGGAAGCACTGAGCTCCTTCTCATGTATGAACAACATGGCTTACAGTGTTGCCATTTTAAGTCCATTCGAGGTATTTGTGCATAAATGATCATTTTCCTTTCTGGACAAGCAGCTGAGGGTTGGGTAGAGTTAGAGTTATCCACTTATACTGAAGACTGGAAAGCAAACAAAGGCCAGAATCCATTGTTTATAGCCACACACATGCCCCGACCATCCTTGGAGCAGTCACTTCTGTCCTGGTCCAGGGCCTTTTGCAGTGAAATCTCAGGGTTTCGTTGTGACTTGGAGTCTTGCAGATTCTGTGCTGCTCTGAAATATATAGTCAGTAGTCACTTCAGCCTGGCCAGCCAGAGGCCCCCTTGCAAAGGCGAGGGAAGGAATATCTACCCAACTCATGTGCACTCATAGATTCCCAGGGGGTCACTGATGGAAGGAATGGGAGAGACTGTGGTGTGGCCGAGCGTAAACATGCCTCAGGGCCGGAGGTTCACCCCAAGCTGGCTAGAGAACTGCTCTGTCCAGAATTCTGCTGTGGCGTGAGCCTGACCCTGCTTGCTCCACGAGCAGTATCTGAGAACAGTGGGCTACCCACACCCATTGTCCCACCTGTAGGACAAGGAAGACAGGACAAGGAAGACAGTCTCATGTCCTGGACTTCAAGCCAGCCTTTCACCCCTTAAAATACTGGAGGGGAAGTCGACAGGCTTGTGGCCATTGAAGGTGTAATTACTATGTGACAGACATATCTCGCATTCTCAAGTGCAGTTTCAGGGTCCCCAGCCTCAGGTCCAGATGTGACCATGTGTGTTTCAGGGCCATGTTGCGGGGCAGATGTCTGACTCGCCCCCATTCCATCCCATGGTGCGCTCTGATGTGCAGAGCACCGTGTTTCTCTCCGTTTGGCTGGGACACACAGTGTAAAGAACACTTTCTAACTCCATCCCCTGGGGAGTGAGCCCAGCTCCAAACCCGTGATGCTATGATGCTCGGATCTCAGACTTAGCTGAGCAGGGGCCATTTGTGCCAGTGGGACTGGCCTCGTCCTTCTCAACACCCCTCCTGTGAGGGCGATGTTTTTTTTTTTTAATGTTCAGAGATTTAATCAACTGTTGGGCAATATGAACATTGCACTAGCTTCATAGGCAACCAAAATTTGAGCCTTTAAGACTTAAAAAAAATAGATAATCTTTATCCTCAAGGTTTTGAAGACACAATGATGGTATTTTGTGCCCTGAAGGTATTTTGGGCACAGTAGACTGATAGAGAGAGGAACAATGCACTCTTTAAATGTGTTTATATAACATATGGTATTTGATACAATGGTGCCTTCAATCCCAAAAGGATAGGGTTGTAGGCTGTTTAATTTTTTCCTGCTGTGACACCTTCCACAGGCTCACATTCTAGACAGAGAAACTTAATGAAGATTATTGTGAAAAAAGGTGTTCAGAAGCAATACCTGATGTCACTGCCAAGGTGCTATTTCCTGGCAGAATGAGTGTTTTCAGGAAATGCATGGAATTACTTTGAAAAATTTTATTACCACATGAGGTAGCAATTGATGAAACGTAATTTGGTGATTTTTTTAAGGTAAAATTATATCTAGCTAGTCTTAGTCTAGATTTGCTGCCATTAAGTAGGGAATATTGGGTAGAGGGTGACAAAATGACAAGTCTGTTTGCTCTGGGAGGTGAGGGCAGGTCGATGGAGAGGACACAGCTCTGGTGGCAAAAAAAATGCACTTACCACTACAGAGCAAGCCTGCAGGCGGGTTCCGTCACCTAGAGGAGTCTCTGTCCTCAGAGAGTTTGGGAGAGAATCAGATGAAAGCAGATAAGTCAGTGTCTGTCATTCCCTCACAAGGAAAGGTCAGCTGGCTCCTAACAGCACCCCTAGCCCCATCACCCCCGCTTCGTGTCTGCTGACTGTTCCCGTGGGTGCAGTCCTCAGCCCTCCCCTCAGTGGCTGAGCCCTCTTTTTGAGGATAAACACTGTAGAGCAGTTGTCATTCAGTGTCACCCCACCCAAAACGGTCTCTGAGCTCCATGACCCTGGGAGCCACATCCCCCAACATGGGGCCACTGTTAGATTTTTAAATCACCCACTTTCCAGAATTGTCCAGAAGCACAGATTTCAGGAAATATTGGGTGACTGGGAGCAGGCAGTGCCGGTGTGCATGGTCAGATGCTGCCGGTCGCAAATAAAAACGCCGTCACTTTCCTGCCCCTGGGTCCCACGGCCCCCATGCCATCCTGGCGGCTGCATCACTGATTAAAGACCCCTCGTCCTGAAGGGCTGGTCTCTCCAGGCCCCATGACCTCAAACCACAGTGCAGACTGAGCAGCAGGAGCTCTTCCCTGGCAGGAAGAGCCACTGTGACAGCCAGCGCGGGGGGTGCCCAGAGGTGGTTATTCAATGTCTGGGCCGTGGAGCTCCTGGCCAGTGTTCCAAGCATGGGGGCCATTGTGGAGGCCAGTGTGGGCCACACTGGGACCATCAGTTCAAGGCAGCATATATGCAGAGACCCAGGTGGAGAGGAGTCAGGGTTATAACAGGGAAACCAGAGTCCCATTTGTCACAGAAGCGACTATTCTCACGTGGTGGACTCACTGCATTTGCAGAGCAGCTCATCTTGTCTATTCTCTTAAGTCCCAGACAGTCAGAAAAAAAAAAAAACAAACAAATACAGTTTTACCAAGTGTTTATATACACTGCTCCTCTAGACAAGGGGAAAGTGAAGTGTTCTGTGTGGTTTTGAAATGGACCCACCCTGCTTGTGACCACTAAGGAGAACTACCTGGGAAGGGTGTCACTGGTCCAATCTAAGGCAAATTCCAGAGACGGGAAGCCAAAGCCATGGTACAGAGGAAGCTGTGACCAGGAGTCCTATCCGTGATTTATTTTAAAAATAATTTTTCTTGCTTTTCTCCCATCAGAACCTGTGTATCTAAAACAAGAGAACTAAAATGGATTGTGTCCACTTATGACTCTTTTCCCTCATTTTAGTAAATGTCTTCCCCCAGTTGACAGGAATAAACTTTATGCTTGCATTAGAAAATATAAGAAAACTTTATGTGAACAGGAAAGCTGCGTTTCTCCCTGAGGCAGTGCCCTTGGCAGAGACGGTCCCTGAGTCAGACCTAGTCTCTCTAGCAGTGTCATCCTTCTGGCTCCCCCTGAGTTTAGCACAGATTACTGGGTATTACTCTGTGTGGGGCTCCTGGGTTGTGGAAAAGCAGGTGAGCGAGACACCCCATACCCCAGGAGCCCGCTCATTCCTGTGTCTCTTTGCTGCCTCCCTCCTGAGGGCTTACTAAACCATTGAGATGCATAAAATTACGGTCTTAAGTTAAAATATAAACATGACACCACCACACACCCATCAGGATGGCTACTATAAAAAATAAAAAAAAAAAGCAATAACAAGTGTTGGTGAGGATGTGGAGAAATTGGAACCCTCAAGCACAGTTGGTGGCAAAGTAAAATGGTGCAGCCATCATGGAAAACAGTATAAAGGGTCCTCAAAAAAATAAAACTAGAATTACCATGTGAGCCCACAATTCCACATCTGGGACCCAAAAGACTTGTAAGCAAATTTCCAAACAGATATTTGCACACCCATGTCCATAGCAGCATTATTCACAGTAGCTAAAATGTGGAAGCAACACAAGTGTCCATAAACAGGTGACTGGATAAATAAAATGTGGTGTATATATCCAGTGGAAAAGCAAGAAATTCTGTCACATGCTACAATATGGGTGAACCTTGAGGACATTATGCTGAGTGAAATAAGCCAGTCACAAAAGGACAATACTGTATGAATCCTTATTTTTGAGGTATCTAGAGTAGGCAAATTTGTAGAGACAGAAAGTAGAATGGTGGGTACCAGGGGCTGGGCCAGTGGGGAGTTCACGTTTAGTGTGGACAGAGTTCCAGTTTTACAAGAGGAAAAGTTCTAGAGATGGATAGTGGCCACAGTAATATGAATGCATTTACTACCACTGAACTATACATTTAAAATCATTAAAATGGCAAATTTTATGTGTGTTTTACTACAGTAAAAGTAAAATTGAAGATGTGGTTCCATAATGTAGCGGTTAGCACTTCTACTTTATATGCAGAAGGTCCTGGGTTCGTGTCATGCCCCAGTGGATTCATGGTCCCTGGTCTATGGCCATGCCACCCTGAACAAGCCCGATGTCTGATCTTGGAAGCTGATCAGTGTCGGGCCTGGTTAGTACTTGGATGGGAGACCACCTAGGAAGACCAGGTGCTGTAGGCATAAATAATAATAAATAACAAAAAAAAAAAATTGGAAAATAAGCAACACCACGTAAAGCTTGATACTAATATCAAGCACCATGCTAGAGTGGAAAGTTGGTTGGTTGGTGTGTAAGTGGCAGGGTTGTGACTAAAGCCAGCAGCTCCCAGGTTCTCTCTGTACCTTGCACCTCTTCCCCGCTGAGTTTGCTTATGGGGCACAGTGGGTGCCCTCCACTGCCACTTTATGCTGACAGATGTCCTTTCAGGACACCCACTTAGACCTTTCTCAGTGGAGGAGCCTGCTTAGTTCAGTGGGCATGGAGGGATCTTAGGCTGTTGCCGTGACGACCAGAATCCCCTTCCTTCCCGGCAACACCTTTGCCCTTGGCTGTCAGTCACTCTCTGCTGAGGTATCAACTACTGAAATATTGTAACTTCACAGATGGTAATTTAAAGCCACATTTCTCCAAGGGAATGAGTGCATGAAGATGCAGAACCCTCCTAGAACTGATGACAGACTGCTGAGCAGTGGGCTCAGCACATTTTGTGCCCCTGCCTGTAAGTCATGCTGCTGGGCCACACGCTCAGCTTCCAGAGACAGGACCAAGCCCACCTGCCCTTGTAGAAAGCAGGCTGGTCTGTGTCACCGGAGAAACCAGCTCTTGTCTGAAGAGCTGTGGGAGGGAGCAGGCAGTTGTCCTGCTTGGGGTGCCTGGGACACAGGTTCTCCAGGGGTCGGCCCAACACTTAAGCCCCCCAGTCATTCTCCTCTGGACCCTCGCTGTTGAGAGTAAAATGTGAAACATGTCCTCTCAGGAATACAGTGAAAGGAGGGAGCTGAAATGCTGGCTGCACCCATCTCGAGACTCAGCGCTTGCTGTTTGCTCCTTGTCTCCTGAAGGTCTCTTTAGTTTCGTCTTCACGGCCACCGTCTCCAGACCAGCTCTCTTCCAGCCACCTGAGCAACACGCCCGTCATCAGCGTGGACAGCAGCATGGCGCCCATGGCCGATTTCGATTATCCCCCAGAATTCTCTTCATGCCTGGACAACTCTGCAGCTAAACACAAGCTCCTGGTTAAGCCCCGCAACCAGCGGTCAAGCAAAATGAGGCGATTGTCTTCGGTAATGGGGCTTCCCTTCCACCTCCAGCCACTCGCCCCTCTGAGAAAACACCAAGGCCCCATCACCTGCCACAGGAGTTGGGGTTGTCTTTTCAACATAAATCAGATATGTCTTTCTCCTGCTTAAACACTCCTTTCATTCATTCATTCATTCATTCATTCATTTGCTCACTCATTCATTCCGCTCTGAGCTGTGAGTCTTGCCTTCCCACTGCGTCCAGTGTGAAGCCCACACTCCAGGCCCTGTCTGCCTCTAGACTTCCTCTAACTCTCACTTAACACACTTTGTTCTCCTCCCTGCATCTTGAGCTCCCCAAGCTGCCCCCAACCTCAGGCCTCGTACCTGCTATATCTCCTGCTCAAGGTGCTGTGCTCCTGGCATCAGAGGGCCTCTCCCCACAGAGGCTCACCTAACCCACCTCTTTACCACCATGTTCACTTCCTTCCTAGCACAGGCCACACACAGATATGAGCTTTGGAATGTATGTGCTCACTTGTTTACTACCATCCTTCTCTGAGACTTTGTCCCAGCTGTACTTCCAGCCCTTGGAACAAGGCTGGCCACAGAGCTGATGACATTCAGTAAACATTTATTGTATGCATGCATGAATGAACGAGCGAGTGACAGCAGAGGAAGCTGAACCACTAGAATGGAGAGCTGCCTTGGGGAAGGACCTGCTTAACATCAGGGCACCCTTCCCCTGTAAGGACACACCTCTCTTTTCTGCCTGGGGTGGTCATCAGCTCTGGGTCCTGGGAACCGAGAACTTGCTGGTGGAGTACTCTAGCCTCAAGGTACCAGGGGTTAGAGGTCTCCATGGGATTGGTGCCTTCTGCCCTGCCTGGTGGTACCTACAGGATGTGACCCCTGAAGGAGCTTAGAGGCAGGGAGTGGGCCAGCCTGGCCAGAGAGCACAACAGTGCTGAGAAAGAGATGCTCACAGGCCAGCATTCTCTGGAAGGCCAGCATTGCTTCCCTGAAGATAAGATTGTGGGTGTTGATGAAGGACCCAGGACAAACTAGGTGCTTCAGCTGGAGACAGTGGCCTGGGGCCTCTCAGGTTGCTGGGGTCTCCCCGAGAGAGTGGGTTTTCCTTTGGGAATGTGGGAAGTGCCTTTGCAGCTTATGCCAGAAGGCTTGGCATAAGTTTTAAAAGGTTGACTTTTGAGGGGACAGATGCTGGAGAAAGAAGCGAGCTTGTGGTTACCTTCAGCCTAATGTGCCCTTGTGCAAGCTGGGGACCAGGGTACATCTGCAAATGCTTACTCACCCCACACAGTTATACTTAAAGGTCCTGAGCTGTGGGGATTTGGCATGGCCCTGTAACTCTCACCTACCTGTCTTCCTGCTGCGTGGAGCCATGGGACAGGGACAAGCCAACTCCCTCTGGCCCTCGAATCCGGGATTTATTCCCACGGGGATGTCTTTTGCCCTGGCAGAAGCCTGCATAACCAGCCACAGCCAGGCCAGGACTTGGTGGCAGAGGGAAGCCAGGCCCCTACTCCTTATAGCCCCCTGGACAGAGCTGTACTCCTCTTTCTCCACTTTTGAACTTGACTTAGCTCTTGAGCCATATTTTTAGAATAACAGGAAACCTGATTTCATCAGTTTGGGTAAACAGTCTTTCCTTGATTTAAACTCTCACTTCCATATTTCCCCTCCTCCTTTCCTTTCCCTTCTTGGTAGGAAGCAGCATGGGTATGTTAAGTTTTTGGTGGTATCTGTATTTTCCTGACTGGGCAGAGGTGTCTAGCCATGGTCACCAGTGTCACTGTTGGGTCCTAAGTTGGAGGCCACTGTCCTTCAATGTCCACAGCCCCCTCTGCCCTTTGGCCATGAGGTCCCTCCTCCCAACTATAAGGACCTCCCTGGTGCCCTGGCCCCTCTCGGGGGCCACAATGCTTTCAGATATCCCAGTCTTGCTCTGCGGGTGGGGAAGAGCCACCCCACTGCCCCTCTGCTGCCCTCTTGGCCCTGGACCTCTGTGGGGGTTCACTGCTCCTTTCGGCTTCACTGGATGGTGAGGTCCATGTTTCTCCTACTTCCCGACCCCCCATAGTATCTGGGGTTTCTTCCCCATCACCCGCTTGCATCCGCCCACCCCCCATCCCACCCCTCCACCCCCACCACCAAGCTCAGCCACCTCGAGTCTCCACTTTGGTCTCTTCCTCCTGCTGCCCAAGTCCCTCCCTTCATCTGGGCAGAACCGCAGTCCAGACCCAGCCAGGCGTCTCTAGCTCTGTCCTCAGTGGGGCAAACTCTCCTTCACGTCATCCAGGTTCTGACTCCTGGAGCTCTACAAGAAAAAAAAGGAGGGCTTTCCTTACCTTAAAAACCCAGTCTTGCAGTTAAAAAAAAAAAAAATTGGCTATAAAGACTGTGATATTTATTACGGATTTGAAAAGCACATTCAAGTGTGCATTTGGCTGAAACATCCACCCCGCCAAAGCTGAGGCCAGGAGAGGTAACGCGGTTTGTTATCTCAGCATTTTACTCTGCTGCACAGAGCTGTGCCCCTCTATGTGGTTTCAGCACATGGGCGGAATGCCCATTGCTGTTTATACTAGCACCTCACCATACCAGTTGATCCTCACCCCAACCCAGGCAGTGCCAAGAGCAGATAATCTTATTAACTCTGTTTTACCAGGAACAGCACAATTAGACAACTGGCCCAGGGTCGCACAGCTGCAGAGTTGCCAATGACCAGTCCTGAGTCCCAGACAGACTGGCACCTCCCCTCACCCTGGCACTACTCAGCAGCGTCCTCTGCCCAGAGATTATGTGGCCACGGCCCCAAGACTCTCTCTGGCAAGAGGAAGTAGATGAGCAGGCAGGCTCGATAGTCTCCATTCTGGTGCAAGCTGAGCACTGGGCCCCCCACTTCTGCTTCCTCGAGAGGGGTCCAGGGCACCAAGCTGCTGTGAGGGCCCAGGGGATTGGGGCAGGGAGGAGATAGAGTGGACATATGCATCCTTCCTGCTGCCCCCAGCTAGGAGCCCAGGCTGAGTCAGAAGCCACTTTGTTCCCTACAGAGCCCCTGCTCTGCATCTGAGCCCATTCTCTGGAGTCTGTGCCCCATACCTGCCAGCCTTTGGCATCCCGGCCCCTCCCTTGAGCCTCCTCGGAGCTGCCAGTGACTCAAGTTGGGAAGTGTCTGCTCCTCAGCTCTGTGCTAACTTCCTATGGGTTCCAAGCATTTTAAAACATGACCCACATCCTAAAGAAGTTTCAACATCAGTGATTTCCCATAACAGCAAAAGGCCAGTAATGCCTTTTGTGCCAGCAGCTTTCCATATTTTTTGTATGAATCATCTTGCACACGCTCTTTTTTTATACCTGGAGGAATAGGACTGTGAATCTTGGTAAGAGTTAGCCTAGGTATGGTCACACATCCCAGTCACCTGTGTTCTGTTGGCTAGGAGATACTGACAGGAAAATGTTAAAATAACACCAACAAATAAGAGAAACCTGCTGCAAACTCTCCTGGAGTGTTCCCTAAAAGGAGGAGGAGACAGCTGAGTTCATGCAGCAGACTCGGGTCTAATGTGGACTTTTTACAAAGATCAATCTCAACCCCTTGACTTTTGGGTCGTTTTCACATGTCATTTTTGATAAGTTGTGGTTGCTTTGATCTCCTTTCCTTCCTAAGAGAGCAGGGACTGACTTTGTGCCCAGGAGATAGGATGAGGACTAAGTCTAAACTCCAGAAGTATTTCAGAAGGAAAATGCCACAGGGCAGTACAGTATGTATGGTCAAGCCAGCAGAGTATTCGGAGAGACGGGAGAACCATAAGCCTCCTGGAAGAGGCAAGGCTTCCTGTTGGAACGGAATTCAAGGCAGTCTTGGGGGTGCGAGTAGAGAGGAGGCTGCCAGCCATTCAGACCCGGAGCCTGGCACATACAATAGCAGGAGTGCAGCTGGACCTGAGTAGGGAGCAGGAGAAACGGTTTCAGAGCAGAGAATATAAGACTTTAGATTTAGCCGAGAATTTTTGACTTCATCCTCTAAGCTATAATTTGCTGTTGATCCCATTTGACATGATATGAATCATCTTATAGGAAAACCGATTTGCCCTTGCTAGGAGTGTGCAGACCTGGGAGAGAGCATTGACGTAGGTGGGGGGCTGGCTCTGGAGTATCCCAGGGTCACAGAGCACCAGCTTTCCCCTGAGCTAATAAACAAAGCCTTGACCAAAGGGTGGACCAGTCTGAGCTCCAGGCCTCCAGGTGCAAAGAAGGATAGTGATCTTTTACTCACTGGATCGAATTGAGGAGTAAATGAAGTAATGAGGGTAGAACACAAAGTATGGCGGATCCCACCCCCACCTGGTGTTGGTTCCCTTCCCTTTGCATTGCTCTGTAGAACAGCGTCCACTGGTTTTGTGGCTCAGCCACAAGAGCCTTAGGCAACATTTATTTTGAGGGCCTAGCCGCCACCATTCTGCTGAATGCTGAGCTTGTGAGACAAGAATCCAAATAGGCCAGTAAGGAAGGGATTAGGCAGAGACGCCTGTGTGAATGTCCACGCTTCAGGGACACACCACTGCCCTTAAACCACGTGAAGCCTTGAACAAAATGGGAAGGTTGCAGGCATCTGAGTCCCTGACGTGGAGATGCTGTCTATCCTCTCTCTTTCTCGTAGCGGGCACAGTCCGAGTCCCTGAGCGACCTGACCTGCACCCTGGAAGAGGAGCAGCACGATGAGAAGCCATTACCAGCAGTCAGCTCGGCAGATGAGCCCAGTGCTGGACAGCAGGACGGGGTCCTGGACCGAGGCCCTGAGCCTGGGAGACCGGCTACCATGCTGCCACCAGGGGGCGCCCATGCGAGACGGGCACGCCTGCAGCACTCCCCAGCGCTCAGAGCCAGTGTGGAGGAGGAGGGGGAGAGCTCCCCTGGGGACAATCCCTCAAGCCGCCCAGCCACCCCAGAGGTCATTGAGCCCAGGTCAGGCCCGGCCTCCTGCTTGGAGTCACCATTTGTGCCAGAAGGCTCCCCTGATCCCAACAGCGAAAACCGGAGGGAGGAGCTGTTCCTCACAAGCACATATCCCGCAGCCAGGGACACAGCTGAAGAGGTGGTCTGTGCTCCTGGAGATGATGAGAGTCGGTTATCTCCCCACATCCCTGAGGAAGACACGACACTTCCTGGGACCAGCCCTGCTACCCCCGTGGAGGTTCCTTCTGGGCCAGGCAGGCCAGACCGCAATGTGCAGGAGGCGGAGCTGATGCTGGCAGTGCCCCCTTTCGAGAGAGCAGGGACAGAGTGTTCTGAGGCCCCAGCCCCAAGCCCCCCAGTCCCCAAGAGCTGCTTAAAACATAAGGCCCAGGGGGCCAGCAGGAGCCTCAGCGTGTCCCTCACCCCACCCGCCTCAGAGTCACCTCCAGAGGAGCCCACTCTCTGTGCCCTGGACAAGGAAGCCACCCCCTTGGGATCCCCCAGAGCTGAACTGGCCAAGTCTCCGCAAGGAGGACCCAAGAGGGTGGCACAAGAGCCGAAAATCAGGAGAGGAGGTGGGGAGCCTCAGAGCATGAAGAAGTTCTCGGTGTCCTCGGGCCGGGTATGGCCACACACAGGCCACAGAGAACATCTGGGGCACTCTGGCCCCGTGGGCCCCGCCACTGTCCCCTCCGCTGTCCGGCTGCCCCTACTGAGGAGCACCCTGGCCTGGAGGAGCGAGGCTGCTCTCGATGACCTCCAGGCACCTCCTGAGCCCCAGATTCAAAAATTGGGCCCTCAGGAGCCACCATCACCAGCTGAGTGCAGCTCCCAAGACACAGGAGACATGGTGGCCAGCCAGGCTGGGCTGGGCCAGAGCCCCCAGGATGTGGTGACCACGCCAGCCACAAGAGACCCCTGCCCCACTGCTCAGGAGCTGCCCGCGTGTGGGGACAGAAGCACCTTCCCCATCAAGCTCCGATCCACATCTCTCTCTCTCAAACACAGAGATGTGTCCTTGCCGGAAGTGAAAGGAATCAAGAGATACAGTGCTGAGGTCAGGCTGGAAAAGGGAGGCCTGACTCTGCTCTCAAAGGAGGACAAGAGTCACATGGGAACGGCCCCCCCTACTCGGGGGACCAGGTCCCCAAATGGCCAGGGAAAGGGGCGGGCTCGGCCATCAGAGCAGCTGGGGTCCAAGCCGCCCCTGCCCAGGAAGCCACTTCTGCAGAACTTCACTCTCCCATCCCCACCCGCATCACCTGATATTGGAGATGTCAGCCCTGGAGAGCTGGACAAGCCTGCACTGCCCCCGGACCCCAGAAAGGAGAGAAGGTCGCCCCACAGGGGAACTGGTAAGATGGTGTTTGGGAAGGGATGGGACGAAGGGAGTCACGTCGGTGGGAATAGCCTGCTGGATGGCCACCGACTATGTAAATACTTCAAGTAAAAACCTTGTTGCAGGGGGATTGGAAGAAAATGTCTGAATTCCTTGAGATATTACTCATGGTTAGGGATGGAGAGTAGAGACGAGGAAACAAATACCAGGATTTGTTGTCAGTTCAGAAAAGTCAGGAAATTGTCCACACTCTTTTGGTAGAGTATTATTCCCTGGAGGAGTGGGCCTCACTGGGCCCCTCACATGCTGCTCCACTGTTTGCCTCTGGAGCTCTGCGAGGCCCAGGACCCAGGGACCTGCTGGCTTTTCTTGGAGGCATCTGGTTCCTCTATCAAATAAGGTCCTGACTTTCCCCACAAAGGAAGCATTTCCTCCAGTTTAATGAACAAGACCATGCGGCCCACCGTCACGCAGGAAGCTCCCCATATATTGGAATCACAGTTTTTGTTAAGTGTGAGGGTGGGCATTATCTTTCTGTCCCAAAAGGGAGCAGTGTCAAGATTAGGGCGGAATGCAGGCATCTTCTAAAGCAACTGTCTTTTGAAATGAACATAGACAGAACCAATGACTCTTCTATGTCATTGACATTTGTCACTTTTTATTTACAGTGTTTCAGACAGAACAAGCACTGTTGCAAACAGGTGTTTGCAGTGGAGGTAGACAGTCCTTCAATGAAAGACAGTTTCTTTCATTAATGGAGAGCAGTGTGCAACAAATGAAGTTCCCCCAAAGGAGTGATGTGCACAAGTGATGCGGCCCCTGGGGGGAGGTGTTCCACGGCAAATTTTATTTAACAACAACTTCCAGGGTATTTTAAGTGACTACTCTAAGTCCAGGACTCCACTTAAGCACTGCATTGTGGGACAAAAAGGAAATAAAACCCAGATGTTCTCCTAGGGACTCCACACTCTAAAAGCAAGATGGGGGCACACTGAGAGGAAAAAACAAGTTCACACAAAACACCAGGAAGGCAGGTTCTGAGAAATTCTAATCTTTTCTGTCTCCTTCCTAGGAAGTTGGTAAAAGTGCTATTGTACAAAGCGCTTTGTCTAAGGTGATCCCGGCAGATGCAGGTGGTTCTAGGGAGAAGCGCCAGGAAAATGCCCCCACTTGTGGCCTTCCTGATCCGGGGCCCTGCTCAGCATTGATGTTTTGCTTCCGCTGCCCCTACCGTCAGTGAGGGATCTCTGGGGGAGGTTCAGGCTATAGCTGAGGGTCTTCTTTGCCAATTCCCAGCGAGGTCCTTGAAGCCATTGCAAAATGATTCAAAAAGATGCTGGTTGAAACAGCAAGGGGGATGGGGCTTGCTCTGGGCAGGTAAAACCCTGACATCAGCACCTTCCACCTTCCCTACCTGGAATTGAAAATGTCCCTCAGGGGCTCTCGGAATGATTGGAACGTAACCACTTACGTAAACATAGGACACTCAGGTTCCCAGTGAGAGCCAGGAAGGAGGCTTCACAGAGCTGTGCTTCGAACGTTAATAATTCATGACTTCTTCAACCTGCGCCTGAGAGTTAGACTTTGTTCTCTGTCAGATGCCTGGAATGTGGTGTCATTAAAGACCTTCTGTTTTTTTCCTTTGATTTATAAAATACGATGTATTTATTCATTAACAGCTTGCTTAAATAGCAGAAGGGGATTGTCTTGTCCATCTGTGTTTATTAACATCGTCTATGGCGCAGATGAATGACGGATTCAGGTGAATTTCAGGGCAAAAGAATCTAGGTGACTACAGGGCACGGGTAGTGGTTTTTATTTGTGTGAAGAGAAGAGGAAAGAGTATTTGAGGGACTAGTTCCAAGACAAGCTGTGGGGTCTAGGGGCTGCCTCATGCAGACCAGAGCCTGATCTCAGGGTCCGTGCTGCTGGACCCATCAGTGAAGCAGCCTCTACACCTTTCCCAGACCCTGCATCTATCTGCGGTTTGATTCATTGTCATTACTCTGCTGTCATCCACGTTGCTCCCAAGTTATAGCAGCTGAAGGGATTTCAATTCATATAAAATATACAGATCATGAAAGTTTTAGTAACAGCATTACTCAGTTTTCCAGAAAAGGCCTGATTATTGCTGTTTATTATCTTGTGGTTGTAGGCACTTTACCCAGAGCTCCAAGATGGGCTGCCATCACCCCTGTTCCCCTTCCAGGGCTACAAATCATAAAGTCAGGTTAGTGAGGTATCCCAGATGGGCCTGAGGTTCTACCTTGGGGCCTCAAGCTGCCTTATCTCCAGCACCCCTATTTATTTCCCCTTTTCTTCCCCACACCCTGTAATCGTCTTTGGAAGTGTGGAGAAATCCTTCCGCAAGGGAGTGGGGTGGATTGGATGGTTGTTGCAATAAACAGAAGAGCCAGCTTGCCAAGTGGGCTGGGCCTCACAGGGCCACCTCGGGGTGGGTACTACAGGCTCAGTGCCCTATCTGTGCTCATCAACTACAGGACACTCCTCAATCTGCTGATATGCCATTCAGCCGGTGAATGGCTTTGGGTTATCAGACTTGTCATGTGTGCAGGATGTTAACCACCCTTCTTTTGGGCCAGTCCAGCCCAGAGTCTAAGTTACACTCAGGATTAGAATCAGAACAAAGCAGTTGGAGAGTTGGGCCAGTCCAGCCCAGAGTCTAAGTTACAGCCTCCTGCACTCAGGATTAGAATCAGAACAAAGCAGTTGGAGATTCTCATGTAGAAAAATGGTAAAGTACAGAAAGCATATAGAAAACAACAGTCACCTACGAGTCCACTCAAGAGATGTTATTCCTGTTGACCTTTCCTTAGAGTCCTTTTTCTCTGTGAGTGCATGTCATTTATTTTCTACATAGTTGTGGTCACGTGTTGGATATTTTGGACAGTAGCTGGACAAATCGCTACCCTCACCTGGAGCCTCGTTTGATAAGCAACCTCAGTCTCCAATCCAAGCTCATTCTCTCCAGGATGGGCCAGTGACAGACACAGTGACACACCCAGGTCTCCAACCCTCTTTTTCTGGGCTCTAGGGCTCACTTATTCATTCTTTCTATAAATATTTCACGTATTCCTGCCATGAGCACAGTTCTGCGCTGGCCCCAAAGGGTAGTCAGGGAAAGCAAGAGGGCCTCACCCTCAGGGAGCTTATGAGCCTGAGAGGCAGGTGGCAGCTGGATATCAGAGGGGAGTGTGGATAGATGCCCATCTTGTCTTTGGCTGTCAGGGAAAATGAACTCAAAGACACTGTCACATGATGACACAGTTATTTCAACGTATTCAGATTCATTTGAGTAGAATACGAAGGGATGGTTTTGGTATCATGCTGAAAATATACTCCTTTGTCTTGAGTTCTTAAAGAAAACCAACTTTGTTCACACCTACCTTTCTTCCCCCCATAGCCACTTCCTGAGTGAGCATGTCAACACTCTGGCTTCCGTTCCCTGCCTTCCCCGTGCCCCTCAAACTGCGTGTGCCTTCCCCATGCCCCTCAAACCATGTATGTCCCCTCATCATCCCCATACAGGACAGGACATGCATTCTCACCTGTCACCTGATGGTCTCTGTTCCCTTGACTCCCTCGTCCATGGCTGCTCACCCCTAATATTCTGTGGGCAGCCCTGACTTGACATCTCCATGATTGTGATTCAAGTTATTGACACCTCACCCACCCCAGGCCAGTGTCCTTCTCAGTGCCCCTATCTGTCCAGATACACCAACCAGCCAGAGGTCTTAGAGACATTACAATAGTTTACTATGGAAAACCTGAAAGGGCAGGAATCATAGGGAAAATCGCCTTGTGGTCCTACTGCGTAAAGAACATGTATAAAGGGACTTGTGCTTCTGACGGAGGTGGAGTAAATACGTTCCACTCCCCTCCTTTTAAAGCCTGGACCAAACTCAGAGGGCGTATGTTGGCAGACTCTGGGAGGCAGCCAAGAGCAGGGAGACCAGGGTGTGGAGAAGACCACGCTTGTCCATTACTCTTCTATGTAGTCACACCATCATTTCTCTAGAAGTGATGCTTAACAGTGGGTTTTCTGTCTCGCAGGGCACGTGCAGTTTTAATTGAATAGATGGCTGACTTCAAATGACCCTCCATGAAGATGGGGCCGGCTCACACCTCTTTCTTTAAGCAGGGTAGAGACTAATTTCTCCATGCTGGCATTAGTACCAGGTGTTGTCAGTCTATTTAAAATTTTCCCCCTAGTCTGATGGATGAGAAAATGTCAGCAAGTCCTGGTCATCCTAATATGAAGTGTCTTTGTCCTCCCCAACCCTGCCCCCAGGTCAGCCTCATCACCTTTAATCTGACACCAGCAGCCCACCTCCCTGAACTCCTCCGTCTCACCCACTCTTCCCAAGTTTTTAACTCTGTTAAAAACTCTCAGAGCCTTTTTGTTACATATGTAAAATAAAATGCAGGGTAAGGTATTCAAGGCTTTTTAAATTTTGGCCAAAGTCGGTGTTTCTGCCTTCCTGAGTTCCTCCACCATGCCTAACCCCCTCTGACATCGCCAGCCCCACCTCTGCCACCAACTCCCCCTCAGGACGCTGTACACACCCCTGCTCACTTTGAGTATGCTTCACCTCCCCCTTGAACTTGACCTTGAGCTCCCTGAGAACAACAGGGGTTTGTTTTTTCTGGCAGCACCTGTGCATGGGGGATCCTGTCCTGCAGTGGGGGGACCTGGGCTTTATTCCCATGACCAGGTACAGGGACCTGGGAAGGAAGCGAGCAAGGCAGGAGTCTGAGTGGTGAGACGGAAGACGCTGAGTTTAGGCACTTTACTCCAAGGTCCACTTGCCAGGGGCTATGGGATCCAGAGCTGGTGTGTTTCTTAAACTTTGAGTTTTAATTTCCTCTTTGTAAAATGAGGTTGTTAGTAATACTTAGGGCAGCAAAAGCATTTTAACTCCAAAATGTGATACAGCTTCATACAGTCCAGTCCCATTTTCCTGAGATGTACCAAACTGCACTCCCCTGGGCCAC